TGCTGTCCCGATTTTTTTCTACGTCCTGTAATGCGTCTTCGTAATGATGTCCTTTTTTTGTTATATTGATCGATATAAGAAACCATTTCCTACATGGGTTTGTAATGACGATTTTTCTGATCTGAGTACAAAGATATTTTTAAGAAACATCTCGTCTGTGTTGTCGAAGTAGCGTAGTGTCTGAGTAAAATATGTATGTCTAAGTAACGTATTGTCGGAGTAGCGTGTGTCGAAGTTCGATTTTAGAGTCTTTAACTTGTACTTTAAAGTACTAAACATAATCAACTTCAAGAATGTTGGTAAAAAACGACAACACAAAAATAAAAGCTCTTAATTTAAATCTAGTCTACGAACAGGGTGTACGTACGAAGACAAGAACGTAATCAATTTCAATTGTACACAAATGTTGTTATGAAAAGAAATTGATACTTCATTCTAGTAGTGAAGAAATTCGTTATCAAATAGGTAGCTTCAATAAAATATAAACAATGCTATCAATTTTGAACTAGCTTCCAGCAAGTAATATACACAGTTTGATAAGAGATCCTGATTGGAAACCAACTTGGAAATCAAAGTATTAACTTTGTTGACCAAGTACCAGATAATTATCTAGTTAATTACAGTAATTAAATAATTACTATAATAAATAATGTATTAAACATAATTGTAATATCTGAAAAGAAATATTTATTAGTATACTGGCTTAACTGTCTATACGTATTATAAAACGTATGCTTTACGTTTTAAGATTATTTATCTGTTAATTAGGCAATCGTTCTGAAGTGCACTTAGAAACTGGAAAAAATGTAAACGTGAAAAGTAAGAATGTTGTGTATTGTCGAACAATAATAGATTAATAAAAAAGTCCAATATAATTGAGCTTCCAAGTGGATTCCAATAATAAACAATCGCAAAATCTCTTCAGTATCTAATTATGTAAGTATTTGTTCGATATAAGAGTACACACTGCAATAACACTATACACACTCATGATATAAGTATTTACGTAGTTTATTTTATTTTCTGTTTCGGGACGCATCCGTCCGTCAGTCTCACTCACTCGGCTAGGGCCCATTGAAAACCAGCGTCACAACCTAGCCTTGGTTGTGACTTTAGCTGAATGGGATCCTTTTGTACACGCCACAGCCGCACACATGTCAGTATAGTATTATGTAACTTGTTGTTGAAATGTTTTTACGCTGTTCTTTGTGTTATTTCTGTTTTAGTAATATTAGTCTTTGTTTTTGTGTTTTTTTTTATAATGTGGCGTTACAATAAATAGTTTCTATTTCTAATTATAAGCTCTTGTTTTGCACAGATGTTTCCATGTTTCTCAAATCGAAAACGTGACAGGTCTGACAGGCGACGCGAAACTAATAGAGCTGGGAGGGCCGCCATATCTGTTGCCGTTGGTGCAGCGCGATAAACTGTACGACCTCGCAAAGCTGGCTGGTTATCTGCACCGCGACCCAGCCTTCATAGCCGGTGCCGGGGCGGGGCCCTGGCCCTACATCGGGGTTAACTGTGAGGTAAGTAAGAGTCCGAAGCATATTACTGATGTATATAGGATAATAACAACTAAAGCATGGAATCTGTTACAGTACCATTTTAGTTGAGCTGTAATGGTAACCCTGTTGCAGGGCATTATCAACTTAACTGTGAGCAACGGCACGGTGAATCAGGGCACACGGATCACGTCAGTGGAGCCGGTCGGCGCGGCCAAGGGCAACAGTGGCTATCTGACGCGGCGCTTGCCGAACAACGAGACGCGGTCGGCGCTGCTTGGCAACTATTTGCTCAGTGAAGGCAAGCCAGGAAAGGTAAATACATTATCTTCTTATTCCCAAGTATAAAATATTCTAAGTCTTTGATATTCTTAAAATACATACATAACGTACGATTACATACACACTTGCGCACATACTAATATTTTTTTACTTCGATTAACAATTGGTCTCACAAATATGAACTTGGCAATCGTGAAAGCAATTTAGCTTAGCAGTACTTGTGCTCATCTATGAGCTTAGCTCAGTTGGGAAACTATGGCTAAAACTTCATAGTTCATTCATCTTATTGTGTAATTAACCAATGTTATATATAGCTAACTTGTTATCATTGTTCTAACATTTATAAGAGATTTTTTAAATTTCAAACGCAGTACGTAAACATAGAATAATAAGAGCAAATAATGCCGTTCCTGCCGGTTTGGCGTAAACGCCATACACTTCGCTCGGAGCGTAGGGTTGTTATATTATTATTTTAATTGTACCTACAGGTTGTAAACATAAATTGAAAAAACTAAGGTATTCGTCACAGTATTCTCGTACTATATTGAAATAAGCTTTCTAAAATGCAGTAGGTACTTACTAATTGATATTTCTGTACCAGCATCTCGGATTGCTATCTTGATTACGGATATGATGATAAATTAGAAATGAAATGCTGAACATTTCTGAATTTAAGGCACTCTTGATGAAACTACCACAAACACTACAATAAACACTTCTACGTCTTTGATGTCATTTTTTAAACCCCGAGCGACTGCGTCAATCTACAATTAAGAGCGCGTGTGCCGACTCGCGCTTTGCAACGTGAGTGCACCGTGAGATTATGCGTATTTGTTCGTCCGTACACGGCGCGTGGCGGCCGCGCACACATACAAGCCGCGCCGCTACCTTTGTATGGAGTTAACGTACTTGTCTTATTATACTATGGCATGTATATACCATAAACATCAAACAAACGACCATATAACATAAATAGTACAGGATTAACAGTTTGCAGTTGTTATAAATTAGAAACAAACATTACAAAATGTAATAGTATTTTTTTATGTAATAATAATTAGTCACTCACAAACTCAAAACCATATTTCCGCTAACGTTTATTTCAGGTGCTCAAAGTAGTGGTAAAGAAGCGTATTGGTGAGGCCAACTTCATCACGGCCATCAGGGAGGCGTTGAAGAACCATTACGGAGACAAAGTAGTCGGTTAGTTCATGCCGTACCTCTGCGGCAGGCCGCTTTATCCAACTACTTTTTAGACATCTATTATCGCGTCGGATAAAACAATGTTCCATACCACATTGGCACTGTCAAGAAGTATGCACAATTTCCTAACCATATACGTGTCAAGGTCTGGGCGGCACGTTCGTGGTGCGCGCGGGCCGCGTCAAGCACCACGTAATGCCGGACTTCTCCGCGACTCCCATCTGCTCCGACGCCGAGGTTGACGCCTGGTTGCATTACTTCGAGATGCGCGCGCCCATCACGCACGTCGGCACACTCGTCACCGGCGACCACGTGAGAGCCTTTTCTGCATCATAAACGAATATGTTACGCGTCTAACGCGATCGTTACGGTTCTATGGTACGTTCGGTAGGCCCCAGCGGTTGCAGCCGACACGACTGTTAGATTTTCGAAGAGTTGTCTTCGTTAACTTGCCAAGAGTTAATCGCTAATCGTCCGGCAGGGCTTGGACCTGCGCGTGCAGCACTTCCACGGCTGGGGCGAGCACGGCGACGGCGGACACTACCACTACGACACGACGCCCGACGTCGTCGAGTACGAGGGCTACTTCGCGCTGGCGACCGCCGTCGTGCGCGTGGACCGCCCGGCGCACACGCACGCCGTGGGCCGCGACTAGCCGACGGCGCGTCGCTAATGCGCCCTGATGTCCACGAAATGACATTGCACTTTCAAAAGGATGGGATTCAATAAAAATCCGGAAATAATGACAACTTTGCGTCGATTTATTTACATTTCAATTTGATAGTTACAAGCGTCAGAATTGAAGTAAAATGACCATGATTGTTTCAGCTGATCAAACATATATTGAAGCTACAAAATCGGCACGTCTTTTTGGTGATTGTTCGCACGATTAGTGTATAATGTAGCCAAACCTTAGATAAACTCCATACGCGTAATATGATTGTCTAAAGGTAAAAATGTAAAATAATCGTTATAAACCCTACCAAATACAAAAATACTATTCGCTATTTTATGTACAATGTTTTATGTCAATTTGAACTACACGGAGAATTCATGAGCTATCAATGCACACATAATTTTTTACCGACTTCAAAAAAGGAGGAGGTTCTCAATTTTATGTCAAGTATATATTACGCGATTACTATTTGTGAACCTATTTTGATGGGTTCTATTTAAATTTGAAAACAAATATTCCACCTCTAAGGGTGGCAAACTAGGGGATGAATCCGGTTGCGCCTATTTTTCCGGTAATCGATTTCAATAAAACTTGGCAAATAGATGTAATTCCACGAACTTTTGAGGTCGGTTCGTATTAAAACGTTACAATTATTAGATTTGCAGTAGATATTTTGTTGTATAGAGGCTCCTCAACACTTGCAAATACTTTAGAAAATTGAACCTCCGAATGATTCAAACCAACATTGCAATACAACAATCGAAAAGATGCCTCGAGTCGAGCCAATGACTTGATTGCGAAGATGCTTTATTAAGCCTTGCGGGGCATCGGGCGTCCTGAGATCCATTTGAGCCCGGCAGTTGCGCTCGGACGTTACTTCGCTAACACTACAAACCTACTGCACACGTAACAACTAACGTGGTACAGAGCAACTTTGGCCGCAGCGAGAGTAAGCAGAGGGCTAATGAGAGTTACTTTATACACTATAGTCATAACTGCGACTGTCGTTCACTACGTAATCTTCGAGAGTGTCCGACTTATACAAAATGCGTACAAAAATAAATTTACAGCTCGTCGTCGCTAGCGAACTACGAAACAATTTACAAGGCAGTGTCAGCTAGTGATTTTAGTGGAATGTCTGATCGTACACTATCCATCCACTGAATTTGAATGTAGAAGTTGGAGGCACTGCGAGTATGTTGCGATCTCACGCGGTTCACCACCACCGAAAAGGTTTACAGAATTATAATATTTTGACGAATATGGTCTGTGAACGATTTCAATGACTTCTCAGCGCAGAGGTCGAGGTGGTGGCGTTTCAAAAACTGAAGAGTAACTTGGTTACATTCAACAGATAAAATTACAACAATTTTGTAGATCTACCTCTAGTATAATTCCCTGCTCAATTAAAACATCCAATAAATTCATGGTATTTTACACATATTTACAATAAAGTTTACAAGTAACGTTTAAGAGTACGAAAACTAATATCTAAACAATAAATGACTGTCGCGACAAATATTTCACTCGTAATCCTGGACGAGCACCGACTAATGGGCAATTTGTGGTATTGCTCGAGACATTCTCTTGAACAACACAAGCCGCAAATGACATTATAACAGCATTCAATATAAACTGATTAGTATAAGTACGTGCGATACAAATTTAATTTTATTTACACATGTATTTCAATGGTACTCCGATCGAAATAACTAGGATATAACATGTTAAGTGTATTGTCATAACTACGCGAGTGTTTCGCCATCCGGAAGTAATACCTTTACAATGGAGCAGCGTCACAAATAACGAACCATTTGTACCGTTTTATGGCTATTTGTGACTTTTAGACAACTTTGGGACTGTTTCGATATATTTCTACTTAGCTATTTCATTAAGACGTGGATAGACGTAGAATTAATTTGCTAAGACTTAGAAGTGCTTCGAGGTACAACAACAGTAGCCGGCGCCAGCACCGATTTTTAAGTCCATTACACAGGTAACGTCGCTGTTTTCCACATATTTTTGAACGTATTTTCGAACTTTTCCTCTTTTTATGACGTTCCAGTTCGCACCACTCACGCCGGGCACGGCGGCGGGGGCGGGGGGGCCGCGGGAGGGCGCGGGGGCGGAGGGCGCTCGGCCCTCGGCGGCGGACGGGCTCAGGAGCGGAAGAAGCGCACGGCGCGCACCACGTACTGGCGGCAGATGGGGCATTCGGCCAGCTGCTTGGAGCAGGCGGTGCAGGCGGCGATGTGCCCGCACTCCAGCAGCACGCACTCCAGCGGCGCCGCCATGCAGATTTTGCAGCACTCTTCCAGGGGAAGGTTGTCCACCTCTGCAACGTTACACGGACGCTTAGTTGGGCGGACGGGGACCGGCGCCCCTTCGCGGACACTGACCGTCCCGGTACTGGGCGTGGTCGCGCCACAGGCGCGTGGCGCGCTCCAGCAGCTCGGCGCGCTCCAGGCAGCCGCGGTACTCCACGCGGTTGCGCGTCAGCAGCTCCTTCAGCTGCTTCACGTTCAGCAGCTCCAGCTCCTGCGCGCTCCGGAAGCTCTCCAGGTCCACCTTCTTCGGAGTCGCTGGAACCACACCGACCGCGCCATTCATTCTAGCGCCTCCAAAGACTCGTCGCGGCCGCGCACGGCCTCGGCAATAAGCGAGTATATGAAACCCCGATACAACCAGTCTCGACGACGTTTCCATCCCACAAATGAGCCCTCCGAAATCTTGCATTACTACCGCCACTAGATTACCGCTAACGGTACCATAAAAAGCGATTGGCCGCTTCCGACGGGCCCAGCCCGATGTTATGTAGTATTTAGTATCATTTTACAATCTTGTAATGTAATCATTTCTAAATTATGCTTTTATATTTATATACAATCTAAAAATCCTCGAAAACGGGCGTGGCGATATCATACGGTATTTGGACGTGGAAATTGCTCTGTACAATATTATATATATATATATATAAGTTCTTACTCACTGATAGAAATAGAACGCATACTTCCCGATATGGTGGAAAAAAGATATTTATGTCGTTGTACGCGGATAGGCTTCAAAGAATCAAATATGAGAGAACCTGAATGTGGAAAATATGAAAGTGTGATCAACGGCCTGCAAAAACTATGATATATATATAGAGGGAATATTTGTGCATTTTTATGAGGTACTGGTCAATTTCTGCCGGAAGTAAAAAATTTTCGAAATTCAAATAAACAAAATGGCCGCCATACAAATTTCAATGTCTTTTATAACGGAAACTATTAGAGATAGGTAGGAGGGTAACATTGGTCAACTGCCTGGGTTAAAAAAATTCAAGATGGCGAATTCAAAATGGCGGCCGAAGAAAAACTTGGTTCAATCCTGCTGAAAATTGGTAACTTTAGGAGTCCTTAATCATAATTTGGGGATAACAGTATTTTTTCGCTATTTTTTAGTATGGCTGCCATATGAGCGTTTTCTTCGTCAAAAATAGCCGCTGAAATAGAATTGCTCTGATTCGGTTGAAAATTGGGGAGTACAGGCCTCTAGAAGTGATAATAATTTGTAGTCAAAATTTGTTTTTCGCCATTTTCAAATATGGTCGCCATAGAAGCGTTCGTCAGTGACAGAAAAAAGTTACTCTGATTTCTTTGAAAATTGGTATGTGTGAGTCTCTAAGGGTCGTATTCCAGAACTCTACTCAATGCTCAAGTCAGGATTGCAATTGAAACACAAGCACTGGAAATACAACCCTAATGGCAGGGACTTGAGTATGATTTTGAGTGCTTTAAGTCATACTCAAATCCTGACTTGAGCATTGAATAGAGTTCTAGAATACGACCCTAAGAGTGCTTGATAATAACTTGTGATCAAAATTCGTTTTTCGCCATTTTTGGATATGGCCGTCATACAAGCGTTTTTGGGCGGCTGAAAAAAGTTTGGTCTGATCCCTTTGAAAATTGGCATGTGGATGTCTCTAGGAGTGCTTCAATATGGCTGCCATGCAAACTTTTTTAGCGGCATATAAAAATTTGCTATAGTTCGACTGAAAATCGGTATGTCGGGGTCTCTATGAGTGTTTCCGATAATAATTAGTGGTTAAAAAATATTTTTGCAATTTTTAAATATGGCCGCCATTAAAAAGCTATATTTTTTTAAACGAAGTCTTAAGAGCCGAGGGCGCAGGCCGAGGTCCACGAAGGGCGAAGCCCTGAGCGTCCGCGCGCCATCGTACGAGGTAATATACGAAAGCGTAACAGATTACGAGTACGAGATCTCTCAATAGTAAAAAGGCATGCTTCCCGATGTAGTGGAAATGAAATGAGATTCTTATAATAGCGTCGTTGTATCTCGACTGTCTCTCTGTTAGATTTCTTTTTTTTTGGAAGTTATGCCAAAGAGAAGTATTTAGGGGGGAAAAACACCCGAACAAACTTCTGCCGAATTTCCTGTATTATGAATACCAGAATAACGATAACTCTGAGGGCAATACCCAGAATACTCAGACCAAAACCAACTTAGAAATGTTCGTTCCTTATATTGGCCCAATCGGACCTCCCCATCAAGCACCCAAGGTACTAACCGCTATGCCACCGAAGAGCATGAGCACACCCCGCAATCTGAATCCGACCACGCGCCGCAGGCCGAACCCGACCCCACCGTAGGTGGGGTACAGGGCTCGTATTTTATGTAAGTATATTGAAATGTGTGTTATGTTATACTCGATATTTATAAATTCGCCGCCGATGGGCAACCTTGAGTCTGAACAATGTATGTATTACTTCGTTTTAAATATGGCCCTCTGATTTCGCTTAGCTACAAGCTTTTTATCTCACATCACAATTATCTGATACTAAACTGCGTGCAACGCCCTGATCGATTGTTACGTACTACGATCGCCGTCGGCGGAGAGCGGGCCCTCTCTCGCCGACCGCGACACGTACCGGGCGTGTCGTCCAGCAGCGGCTCGTCCTGCAGGCTGGCGGCGTCGGGCGAGTGCGCGCCGTCGTTCTGCCGCAGCTGCAGCTCGGAGGCGGCGCGCCGCAGCGAGGCCGGCCCCGCCGGGGCCTCCGCGCGCTCCTCGTTGGCCGTCATCAGCACCTCCGAGTCTGACGAACCGGTCCAAAAGGTGGCGTGACTAGGGGACGAGTGATTCTCCCTGACCGACCGACCGCCGCGGGAAGCCAACATGCCCCGGCACCGAGCGAAGCGGATGTAGTCAGTCACGACTCGCGACGGCCAAGCGACTCGCGACGAATGAGCGTTATTACGAGTGGAATAAAAATGGACAAACACTGAGCAGTAGATTCCTCCGAAGTGAACACTGTGCGCAGAAGCGAAATCTCACCATTGGGCAGGGGTTCGGCGGGACGCGTGACAAATTCCCAGCCCGCGTCGTCGATGTCTTCGATCTCGAAGCAGTCGGCAGTGTCGACGCGCGCACTGGCCTCCGACTCGCTGGGCGACTCGGAGGCCGGCACGGGCACGCGGATGTCCGGCTCGCCCCCTAACGAGGGGCAACTGTTACTCCTTGTACAGGGTTTCTTGCAGCTTTCGGTATTTCTACATATTTCTCTACCTAACAATCATTCGTGTGCACCGAAGCTTGCGACAAGTAAGCGAAGCGGATGACTTATATGAAGCACAAAATGTTATAAACAGTTTTTACAACCATACTTTTATACAAAGTATTTCCCACAAAAAAAAAGCACTGGCCATTGATTACCTGGTCTGGTAGTGAAGCGCTCCCTTCGGGCCGTCCAAGCGCCGCCGCCTCCGGCGCTGCCCGGCGGAGCGTGCGCATGCGCTGCATTCACACACGTGCCTGTAAGGCATTGCAATGATTTGGATGTCTGATATGGGCAAACAGCTGTAACCATGAAATAGCCACAAAAACTTTAACAATCCATCAGACATTAGAGGAGGCATTAGATTTTCTTTTAAACAAAGATTTCTTCATGTAACAACAGTTTAACATTATCACTTTATGGTAACATCTGATCATTTCCACATTAGTAGCAGTAGAGCTTCTCATGAAAGAATGAGCATTCCTGCATTCTGGTTTTGAAGGGTAATGGTGCTGCTCACATTACAGGCACATGAAATTTGTCAACTTTAAGTCTTATGGTGACGTGTGCAGGAACAGTGTCCCTCAGATTTTTACGATTTAAAACCTTGTGGCACGGTAAAAAAAAACATTGCTTGACAGCACCATTGCATGAGTTGATACTATACTCGACAACTGGTTTATAAATATAGAAGTGACTGACTGTTAGGAACAGTTGGTTGCTGGCTTGAGGGTTGGTTGCGCAGGTCCAAGGCAGAGCTGATGAAGTCATTGATGTTGTTGGTGAAGCCTTTGAAGGAGGAGAAAGGGGAGCCCTCGGGGTGCGGTCCTCGCCGCCGGTACGCCGTACTGTTCACATGATGCACGCAAAGTGAGACTAACTCTTCTTTCTCTGCAACAAGTACACGTCGTATGTAGTCAACAAGTTTTATTTTTAGAAGAGTTAATAAATTTACAGATTCACAATTAATAGGGTACCAAGTTTCATCAAATCTCTTAAAATGATTATAATTTTCTGAATTTATTGCAATTGATTACTTTGAACTATCAAAAGAAATCTTAACCGCTTGGACAGCAAATATCTTGAGACTGTGGTTTGGTCCCATGATTTCTTTAGCAACCGCCAGTGTTTTTTCCTTTTTTCATTGTTAATAATATGATTATTACACAGATAGAATAATTCACAGGGATTGGTATTAAATGCCAGAATTGACATGTGGCAGGCCTTATTCACTGAACCATGAAGTCTAGACACAAAATTTTATGGCAATTGATGGATAATCCAGTGAACAAACAGGCTATAGCTATATTATCAAGAAATGATAAGGTTCCTACCCTTGGAAGTACAATGTGTAAAACTACAATATCACACTAATTTACTAGTGTGTCATTTATAAAAATCTGACAATCTAATTACAAGAGTTATGTTGCACAAACTTTTCTTTATGCATAATATACAAGATATTCATGAAGTCTAAGCCAAAATTCATGAAGCCCGTTGTCCACATTTATTTTGTACTGGGTCAAAGAAATTTAAACTACTTTTTTGGCAAACTTTCTTGTATTCAGAAGTGTAATGACCAGCGGAAACTCTATATTCTAATCTGCATCTGCAGTTTGCATTAGCACAGCAAAAACGAATTACAACTCAATAGCATTGTGATTGGATTTTCATTGTCACAAGATTAAGAATGATAGTTCTAGAATGTTATCTAAGATAATGCTCGTGATCCAAGGAACTTTATCGCTACAGGTCGAAGTGGGGTTCTCACCGACGCAACCGCGAGTGGAGACATTCTGGCGCTGTAGGAAGCACTGCAGATCACGGACTTTGAGGTGCGCGATGTTATTGCGCGCCAGTGGACGCGTGGAAATTGCACGGCACGGCGCGCACATACCGCCGCTGCGTCGCAGGCACGCCGCGCAATACAGCCGCTCACACTCTGAGCACGCGCGCTTGCGCCGAAACACGCTGAACTGCACACCACAGTTCTCGCACGGCATCCTACTACTTCCGCCGCTGCTGGTCCCTCACACACCCGATATCATCTATCGCTACCATGCTCTGCTCCCGCACTCCGCATCTAACTACCATGTCATGCACTCATTATTCGCAACACTTGCACATTCACACTAGTTGGTTCACTTTCCTATTATAATGTACACCATTTGATTCGAACGTTTTCAAGGAATTAAAGCTTTAGTAGCGTAAAAACCATAACATCACACAGCTGCCATCATGGAGGAAAACAACATCCCGTTACACGGAGACTTTTAAGCAAATAAATGTCAAAAAATGTAAGGACTCGAATAGAACGTGACGCACATTATATTCTAAAGTACTACTACGGAGCGTAGAGTTGCATACAATATAGGTACATACATTGACCTACAAAAATTCCAATTAAAAATGTTTGTCATGATCGGTTATGATTAGACATACACTACTTATTTTTTTCCATCCCTTATCACCATTTATTAACGGAACGTAGGTGTCGGAGTATTGGATATTTTTATGGCTATAGATAAATGGTATTCATCCTATAATTAGTAATCATTTGTATGTATAGCTTTAAAATCAATATTTTCTTCCGAATTCTACACTCCGACACAGATTACTTAATAGTTACTACGTCATCACACTCTCACATCACTCTCATACAAAATCGAAAATACCTGGCTATAATAGCCTACTAAGTCTGACTAATGATAATGACACCAGGCGCTCACTACGAGTATGAGGAAAAAGGAACTGCACGCGTCAGAGGGGTGACAATAACGTTGCCCGCCGTGTGCAGTCCTGCGAAAACGAATGCTCATAAATGAAAGATTTGTATGAGAGCTTGCGCCGACGTCGGCGCACTCAGCGGTAGGCACTTATCGCATAACCTTGAGCGAGTGACGGAGCCCGGACACCGTCGAAGACAAAATTATCAGATGAAATGTTTAACAATTAGTTCAACTTATTTTTATTATGATGTTAGTGACCTTTCTCTTTAATATACCGGAAATTTCCAAGGCCTAAGGTTTTTACTGAAGACACTAATACCAATAGTAAATTTTTACAATTATAAGTTTAGCTATTTAAAAAAAAGTTTAGGTTAAACTCGGTACAAAGCAATAATTCTCAACGTACAAAAGACGAATTTTCGAACTTAGTGCCCATTGGATTTTAAGTCCTTAACGTTCGTATCAGAGTTCAATTGTTACCAATGTTGTTGAAATGTTGCGTGTGCGTAACTGCGAGGATTGGTAACAAAGTTACATGGAATGTATTAATGTAGCGCTACGTTTAAGATTGAAGAGCGCTATGAGAAAAATAACATTAACGTTACGTAGTGTTAGACAGAGACAGGCGAAATTAGATAGTGTCATTTAATTTCGCATCAACGATCACAGCTGAGGTGTCCGAGTGGTTAAGGAGTTGGACTTGAAATCCAATGGGTATTACCCGCGCAGGTTCGAATCCTGTCCTCAGCGACTTTTTTGTACCATTTTCTTTTTTTATTAATTTGCACACTTAGTACATACCTACTTATATTAAAAAATGTTATGACGTGAAACCAGATAAATACCGTTGTAATGTGATTATTTATATTTGTACACACATAATACATATTTAATTATCCCTTTATAAACGAGTGTAATATTTGTTGGTTTCATTCAGTTATTTTTTGATCTTTAAAATCGTGTTTTCTTTATTCGACAGTTTTGGGTTACGAAAGTATTTGACTTCATTTGCGATATATATACGGTAGGTATAATACTTATATAATGTACGTACGTTAGTAATGCATAAACATACGTAGAAATATTATATTATGAATGGTTTGTATATTTTTGACGTGTTGAAATTAATGTTTTTGTCAATGTAAAAATAAATACTCAGAAGTTGTAACATTAAGTGGCCTACATGGATGGTTTTATTAAGGTAATTAAAAATTTACTTTGTATATTTGGTGGAAGTAGATTGCCGGAGTTCAAATATGGTGTATCGAATCGGTGTAGGTCCATCAGTGTGTTTTTTATGTCATAATTAATAATAAAAGAGTTTATAGAACGAAATTGCTGTTATATTTATGAGATTTTAAGCAACAAAAAAACAATCCCACAATGAAAATATCATATGTAGTTTAAGTATAAATATTTACTGAATCAAAACATGCACCCCTGCTATTATTACATTACATTACACTTCTGCCATCTTGCTGGACGCTCATAATATCCTTCCTGTGGAAGAATGGGGAACGGGAATTTAGAAGTAATTTTCGACTGCGTCATGGGAATTAAATTGCTTTCTGGGACCATGAGTAAGTTTTGAAATATGTAAACTCAACTGTCGCGTTTGCGTTAGATTTTAATTTAAAACTTATAAATATATGAATAAGATCTAAATTAAAATCTTAATGCAAACGCGGTAGTTACTTTTTAATGATTAAAAAAGGTTTTTAGTGTGACTTAGGATAGACTTACGAGTATGGCCTTTACACAGTTATAGTGTACTAGATCTTGTCATATTATCAATGTTGACTTCCAGAACACGTCAAGATAGAATATAGTGCACTTTTTTACATATTAATTAGGTAACTTATAATTTTAAGAATGCCAATGCATGCTTCTTTGAACTCCGTTTATAGGCACATTCGTAGACTAGAAAGATAAAAATGGAGAAACTTATAAAATAAAACATGGCCAATTAATAAATTACATCAGTAATAAAGTTTACACGTGGAAGTGGAAGCACGAATACCTATACCAGAAAAATACGTGCGGATTAAGCTATATCGGGAAGGTACGTTTACATGAAAACTATGAAAAAATCTTGCGCTTCCTACAATGCACCAAATTAATATGAAATTTCGGAAAATTACATAAGGCTCCTAAAACTTTGAAGTTACTTTTAAAAAGCTGTGGCCTTTATTTGGTGTTGGAAGGTACTTACCTACACAGAAATGAATACATTGTAATAATTAGTAACACTTTTGTGACGTCTAAATCAAAGTTGAATCTAATTTCTACACATTGTAACTAAACAGTCGCTACTTCGAAAATGGCTGAATTCACTTATAATTAGGTACAATAGAGAAGAGCAAAAGGAATTATACAGAATAACTTAAGAGTATTAATAGCGTAGTTAGTATGGAGAAATGATTTCCAATGCGTATAGAATAGTTACTCTAAAGTGATCAAGGAATTGAGTATCAATAGACTTAGTATTCTTAAAGTTGACTTATGGTATTCTATAACCTGGGCAAGATTGTTTGTCTTTGGACTCAGTGGTTCGTGATGGTTTGTGACTGGATGTGTCATACAGAAGTTACTTAAATAAGAAAAGCAAACAAAATACTATATATACTTTATACATACTTTTATTATAGTGTTGATACTTTATTTAAGAGATTATATTCTATACAATTGTATTATAATATATAATCTACATATAAACGGATTACGTTAATACTTAAATCCTGTAATAAGTCTCTATTAGACATAAATCTCTACCACCTATTATATATATAAAGCTACAAGTTTAGACTCACTTAGAAAAATAGAACGCATACTTCCCGTTATGGTGGAAAAAAGATATTTATACCATTGTACGCGGATAGGCTCCAAGGCAAAGAATCAAATATGAGAAGACCTGAATGTGGAAAATGTAAACGAGTGATCAACGGCCTGCAAAAACTATAATACATGGGGGAATTTTTGTGCATTTTTATGAGATACACCCTGGTCAATTTTTGCGGGAAGTAAAAAATGTTCGAAATTCAAATAAACAAGATGGCCGCCATACAAATTTTGAAGCCTTCTATCACGGAAACTATTATAGGTAGGAGGTGCTCGAAGGTATGTCATAGAGGGTAATACTGGTCAACTGCCTGGGTTAAAAAAATTCAAGATGGCGATTTCAAAATGGCGGCCGAAGAAAAACTTGCTTCGATCCGGCTGAACATTGGCATGCGAAGGCCTGAGTCCTTAATCATAATTTGGAGTCAAGAATTTCTTTACGCCATTTTTTAATATGGCTACCATATAAGTGTTTTTTTTTTCGTTAAAAATAGCTGCCGAAAGAGATTTGCTCTGATTCTACTGAAAATTGGCATGCGAAGACCACTAGAAATGGATAATAATTTGTATCGAGTTCTTAGGTTTTCGCGATTGTTACACATAGGAATGAAACTATTTTTCCGGATTTAAATCGCGTATATTTGTTTTTTCAAACAAACCGACGTTTCGGGCCCTTTACAGGTCCCATGGTCACGGTTGACACGGTTGTCAAATATACGCGATTTAAATCCGGAAAAATAGTTTCATTCCTATAATAATTTGTAGTCAAAATTTGTTTTTCGCTATTTTCAAATATGGTCGCCATAGAAGCGTTCGTCGGTGACAAAAAAAATTGCTCTGATTTCGTTGAAAATTGGTATGTGTGGTCTCTAAGAGTGCTAGATAATAATTTGTGATCAAAACTGGTTTTTCGCCATTTTTATATATGGCCGCCATACAAGCTCTTTTAGCGGCAGATAAAAATTTGCACTAATTCGATTGAAAAATCTGTCTGTCTTTATGAGTGTTTAATAATTAGCAGTTAAAATATATTTTTCACCATTTTTCAATATGGCTACCATACTAACTTTTTTGGCGATAGATACAAATTTCTTCTAATTCGACTGAAAATGATATGGCATCATAATTAGGAGTAAAAATTTTGTTTCCGCTGTTTTTTGATATAGCCGTAATTTATTTATGTAACTTGCTTTGCTCGGACTGAAAATTGGCACGAAAGGATTTCTAAGATTGTTTGATAATAATTAGTGGTCATAATATATTTTTGTAATTTTTAAATATGGCCGCCATTAAAGAGCTATTTAAATTTTTAAAACAAAGTCCTAAGTGCCGAGGCCGCAGGCCGAGGTCCGCGGAGGGCGAACCCCGAAGCGTCCGCACGCCTTCGTATGGAGGTAATTATATACTGAGGCGTAATAAATAGATTACGAGTACAAGATCTCACAATTGTAAAAATGTAAGGCATACTTTCCGATGTAGTGGAAATGAGATACTTATTATAGCGTTGTTGTATCTCAACCATATCTGTTAGATTCAATTTTCTTGAAAGCTATGCCAAAGTGAAGTATTTAGGGGGATAAAATGCCAAACTACAGCCGAATTTTCTGTACTATGAATACAAAACAACGATAATCCAGAATACTCAGACCAAAACCAACTTAGAAATGTTCGTTTCTTAAATTGGCCCAAATCGGGAATCGACCTCCTCATCAAGCGCCCATAGTACTAACTGCTGTGCCACCGAAGAACATGAGCACACCCCGTAAACTGTACCCGACTACGCGCCACAGGCCGAGCCCGACCCCACCGTAGGTGGGGTACA